GCTGAACCGAATTTGATTCCCTCAGCAGTTCTGCTGATATTCAAGAAACCTTGTCGATCATCTGCAGCGCCACTAGCTTGGTACAAGGTGGTGACGATAGTGCTGGCCTTTTTAAGTTTTGAAAGCTTTATTTGATCATAGTAATCAAGAATTACATGCGCACTCAAGATCCTCTTGGCAATGTCCAAGGGTCTTCCATTGAGCCCACCAATCGAGCTATTATCGAGAGCAAGCACAGTGATGGTTTCTCGGCTGCTCATTTCCTTGGCGAGCCCGCTTTGGGTTAGGAGATCATTGAAGCCAACAAACTCAGGGTATTGTCCAAGGATCTTGGTGATGTTGAAGGCCGTGGAGGTTGAGGAGATTAAGCACAAGATTGCAATGAAGAGGAGGGAAGAGACCTTGGAATCCATCTTTGTGACAGGATGCTGCCAAACCCTTCCTCCTTATTATTAATATTATTACCTCTTCTGTTGGAATTCGAAGCAGATAATGCTGAGACCTTTATAGGCATGTTGAGATGTTGACCAGAAATAAGATGCTGACCAATTGATGGCCGAGAATGAATTTCTCTTACAGATCAGGATATATGAGGTTTCGAATTTGCATGTCATCAATCATGATGTGTTGTTTGGTTGGGCTTTAACAATGGAACGTGATTTTAGAGAGTTGTTGATTATTAGAAATGCTTTCAAGGACTAAATTTAGAGCTTTCTATTTGAGTGTCGTCAGGATTGCACTGTAAATACCTAACCTTCCATCTAATTAATCTAACCCTTATTTCCTATTTCCAATTCCAATTTCCTAACAAATTTGAGTACTAATTTTATAATAATAGACATTTTATTTGATAGTATTATCTAAAATGAGATTATTTATATTTTAAATCAGATGAAACTCGATAATTTTCTAACTTATTTTTAATTTAATCTAAATTTCAAATTAAATTAGGTGTGATATAACTCATACAGTGAAATAAATACCTAACCTTCCATCTAATTAATCTAACCCTTGTTTCCTATTTCCAATTCCAATTTCCTAACAAGTTTGAGTACTAATTTTATAATAATAGACATTTTATTTGATAATATTATCTAAAATAAGATTATTTATATTTTAAATCAGATGAAACTCGATAATTTTTTAACTTATTTTTAATTTAACTTAAATTTCAAATTAAATTAGGTGTGATATAACTCAATATAACTTGATAGTGAGATCTAATCAAAACTCAGATAATTTTTTAAAAAATAAAATTTTAAATTAAATAGAATTAACTTTTCAAGTTTATAATCCAAGTAAAATTAGATTTAATAGCTTTAATGTTGATAATATTGCCATGATATTTCTAAGCCATTGAAAGCAATGACAGTTACTCGGTGTTCATGTTTAAATTATTTCCTAATTAAGGGGATGTCATGAGATGAACAAAAGGGAAGCAAATGATTGAACAGACATGGAATGGGGCAAAATTTAATCCCATCAAAATTGGTTATGAGCTCATGTTGGGCTATTTTTGGTCAAGCAAAGTGTTGGGCTTGGAGAATTGGGTAGGGAAATCAAACCCATAAATGAACAGGCCATTTTGTAGATTAGGAATTCGAAGTCCACGAACTTCAGTTTCAAAGAAGCCTAAGGGTGCCTTTTTAGCATCGGTGATGATGATTTATTGACAATATCTATAATAATAACAAGAACAGGAATAATCCCCGCATTAGGGAGGCTTTAGTCGGTTAGTTAACATAAGATTTTATATTATATTTATAATGAAATGTAAATTTATAATACTAATTAAACATTAACACATATATGAAAAATAATTTTAATCTCTTAAAAATTCTTGTGTATATATATGTAAATAATCTATTTTTCTTGTGGGCTACAATTACTATTATTATCCTTAGAAGTTAATATCAGTAAATTTGAGTGTTTTTACATATTTAAAATTGATATATTTTCATTATTTAAAAACACAATTATACCAAATTACATCAAAGAAGGTTCGAGATAAGAAATCATATTTGATTGATATCTTTTATAAATTATAATTGTGTATTGTTTAGAACAAATAAATATTAATTTTAAATAGAAAAAAGGATCGAATATGATATAGATAGACAATATCATTTACTTTATAATCATTAAGTAGGTGTTCAGCACTGATATGAATATATGATTTTTATAATTAATATTTAGTGGGGATACTTTTCCGAGCTTTCATGACCTTCTAATACACGTAATTCAGAGTCGCTCTCAAAATTAATCATTAAAAAATAAAACCATTTCAAAAGATAGGTTTAATAAAGTCTAGTAAGTTAAAAGGAATAAATACCCTTCTCATTGCACGCCGTATTTATTCTTCTTGGATGAATGAATGGGAATATGGCTGTACCAAATAAAGATTGCTCTAATATTTAACAAAGTAATTAAGAATTAATCAATCCCAATGTAATTCTTGTTCCATCTCCTTTCAACTTTTCCAATATTCCCCTGAAAGCTAGATTTCTTCACGGTACTTCCTGCTAATTCGAGTTATACCTCATCTAATAGCCTTTAACTTTGGTACTATTCTCTTAATCTTGCTTTACGTGACTAATATGTTAATAAGTGCCCCAAATGTTAGTAAGCACATATGCTGTCTACTCTTAATATATTGCTTGTTGCTCTTCTATAGAATTCTGTCGAACTCTTTGATGGTTTTTGTGCACAGGTAATTGGATCGCTCTCTAAGAAAAAGAGAAGAAAAGGTAAGGGCTAATACACGTTGTCTTCCATAAGATTGCTTAACTATAGTTTAATTAACTAATTAAGTCAATGATAATCCTTGGGTTGTCGGGTATTTATACCTCGAAGGGCCAATTTCCTTACAAAACCTTTTTAGTAAATAATTGTGAATGTGATTAGGTACACATCCCTTCAAGGGTCCCCAAACCCTCCCCCCTTTTGCTCTCTCAACATTCTCTATGATGAGATCATAGCCGCCAAGCACATCTTCATCGTTATTTGTAAACATAAAGATCGAGTAAACATATGTTTATAGAACAATTTTGAAATAAATTTTCATTCAAAATAGGAAATACAAATATATTTTTTATACCATCTTTTATATTCCAAGATAATAATCAAATACTATAAAAAATAACTCTAAATAACCATTCTAGCTTTCACTAAAAAATAAAATCAGATCGGTTTTAACCCACAGAGTACTTATATAAAAACAATTAGATTCTCATAACCAGTATTATAACATTAAACAGTTTATGCTGCAATTGACATCATAGCCTTAAGAAATAGCCAATCTACAGACCCCATTGGATGAAATTAGTTTGAAAATTAAACACAAAAATTTCAAATTATTAGGTTTTGATGATCAGCATGACATATACATATCAAAGCGACACGCTATACCCTTTTCTTTTGATTCTCAATGGGAATTGGATAAAAACAAAGCCTATTGATAAGGATCATGAAAGTGGTAAAATTGTCCCGCCCAGCCATCCAAATCCCCTTTGTAGCTAGAAAGTGAGGATTAAAAGGAGGCTGAAATACTGGCTGAAGCACGAGGATAAAAAAAAAAGAAAAGGGGGAATTCTTGACGATATGATTTTGTCGTCCTCCAAAATTCTAGCAAATTCATGAGCAGACAAGTAAATGATTAGGATTGACATGGATACGACAAAACGATGTATCTTGGTGCAAACTAGCTAAGCACCTTCCTTTACATATGTTGTCCTGTTCCTTATTCCATGCAAGCTTATTTTCTCTGGTTCTGTCTCTCTCCGATGCCCTAGGGTGCATGTCACCGGCCCTGTGCATTTCCTTTTTATCCAGTTTTGATTTTTATAGTATCTTCAGGTAATTTTTTTATTTTTTATTTTTATAGCATGTAATTTTTTAATGAGATTAAGTCTTTTTATTTGGATTTAATTTAAACCAATTACATATGAACTGATAGGTATATGGATAGATTTTCTCTCTACATGTCGCTGTCCTTAGATTGGCATACGAAATCATGTTTCTCTCCTACACATATTCTGATAAATTAAAATAGTGTTTAATTGTTGTTTTAAAATAAAAAATATAAAGATAATTATGATAAAATTGTTATTTAGAGATGAAAGAAATTCGTTCAAAAATTATTATAAAAACAAATTTATTTTTATATCTTCAACTAAATAAATTTTTGTTTTTTTGTTTTTTTGTTTTTTTTATATTAGAACACTAACTATACACAAACCTAAGGATAATATAAGTAAGATCGTGCTATTTAAAATATTAGATAAGCTGGTGAAAAGTTTGTCCTGCGTGCATATTATTGATCATAAACACAACATTGATGTGCTGATCATGTGTATGGAAAAGGGGATAAATTAACACTGGGAATTAGCAGTATGATTCTCTCATTCTCTTTTGGTCCTTGAAATGCTTGTTTCCAGCATAACAGCTGTGGTTGGAATCACCTAGAACTAAAAAGTCATATGTGGTGTGACAATGTTAAAAGTTGATCCAAATCCTAATGATAAACGGAATCACAAATTTTATTTTTTCATTTTCTTCTGAAGTGTACATATCTTTTTTCATGCCCAGGAAAAATAAAATAAAGAAATGCATGACAGATGGAGCTGGAGAGGGTGGTGGGGGGATGATGTTATAAAAAAAACATAGAAGGATGTCGGCATCACTTAGGGTTTCACCAAATCATAATATATGCACACACACACACAAACAGGGTTCGTGTCATTTAGGACTTTGTGGTATGCCTAAAGAGGAACAAGAGCAGCAAAGGTTGACCTTCTTCTTGAGGGTTTGGATTGTTAAAGGCATGCACAAATTCTCAGTAACTTCACAATGGGGAACTGGAATCAAAAGGTTTGAGAGAGTTCAGGACCACACTATCCCGCGAAGTCTTCCAAAACATAATCTAGGACTGCGTTGTTGTCCATTCTCTTTTTTCCTTGTTTTAACAGGTCGTGACTGATCGTGCAGGAGAATAATCAATACTCTATTAATTGATCCGCAAATTCCAAATATTAGCTTGGAGAATAATCTCCCATAGTACTAC